AGATGTAATAGTAAAGAATTAAATACATTATCATTTTTCTTATTTTTATTAATCGATTCATATCTTCTTCGTTTTAACCATGATTTCTTTTTTTCTTTTGCAAAGATGGAACGAGTTCGTTATGTTCTACAAAATGAAATCCATTGTCAATATTTTTGAGAAAAAAATTCTTACCTCTCATTACTAATTGCATACCATATGGTATCTTCTTTGTTTTTAAGTCGTTTTTGCAAATTTTTGCATAGAAGGAAGTAGTTCATCATGATCTATTGAATCTACAAATTTATGGGTGAACAAATTACACGAACAAAAAATACCACACAAAATAAGAGCATACCATATGGTATACAACGTACAATGGTGGTATGAACATACCAAACTGTAGGATAATGGAATACATGATAGTAGAAGTGTCATTTACGACTTTCAACATTGTGTACAACAGGGTGGTATACCATATGGTATGCTCTTATTTCAATATCCGTCTTTAACAAATGGTATTCTACATTGCTACTACTCATAATAAGGCCAAAATTATAAAATAAACACATGTGTACATAAAAGAAAAAACCGTGAACCCAACGCAACAACACAAACCCACAGCCATGTTTTACTTGGCCGCTAACCTAACCCAGCGGCATAAACCACGCTATTCAAACAATCCATTCCCATGCTGTGGCTATGATTAAACCCAATAACTATAGCATTAGAATTAATGACTAATAATAATAATAATAATAACAATAATGATGAAAACGTTGAGGATAATATGAATATACGCAACTAGGGCTGTTAATGAGCAGGGCCGAATCGAGATTTACTTTGTTTAGGTTTGGTTCATTTATAAACGAGCCGAACTCGAGCTCGGCTTGTTTATGAACGAGTTGAGTCGAGCCGAACACGAGTCAACTCATTTATTGAATTTTGGCTCATCATTAAGATCAAAATTTTGGATCGAGCTCAACTCTAAGATTTATATCATTAACAAACTAACTCATAAGATATAGATAAAATTTCTCATAAACTGTAATCAAGTTGGCTCGTTAGTAACAATGTTGAGACATCTCATGGACTCAAAATGAGATAGTTCATGAAACTAACTAAACAAGCCACCCAATCGAGCTAGTTCACGAGGCTCACGAGCGGAACAAGGTTGAGCTCAACATCGGCTCGTTGATAAACGAATCGAGCTTTTATTGAATCGAACGCGTTTTTATCGAGTACGACACCGAGCCGTTCGCGAATATCTTGGTTCGTAAAGCACCTATATATTGGGTCAAATTAGAATTATTGATTATAATTAAGTTAACTTTAATATTTAAGATTTAGAAGTAGCGCCTACAGTCTACAGCATAAAAATATCAATATACTGGGTAGGAAGTTTGTTAGGGATTTCTTTTTACTGGTTCCTTTAGATTAGATATATAGCATTACTTAAATAATATGAAAACATATATAAAGTTATACCAAGAAAGCTAGTGATAGGATATTTTTTAATAAAATTTTAATTCCATCGTTTCACACAGCGAAAATTATTTACCATTTAAAATATGATATCTAGTATGTCGATCGGTACGTTAGGATTTCTAATACAGTGTTCAAAACAGAAACGCTTAGGAAATGAAAACCGTTTTGCAGAGATAAGTGGATCTTAAGTAGTGGATAACATGCAATGATAAAATTTAATTGCAGAGATTTCATTAAACCACTATCTTCCTTTTGTTCGTCCTTACCTCTCCCTCTCTTGACTAAGGAAACCGAAAAATCTTTTAAGCCTTTAAGGCTGTCCACCTGCGAGTCAATCTTGATCGGTGAGAAAAATAGGTGTCACACGCCCGTGGGTCGGCAAGCAGCAAGGTTCCAGTAAGGCATGGTAGTAGAATTATTAGGTAACAGTAATTATGTTTTAGCTTTATATATAATAATACTACATGGAGAATATTTTTTGTTAGAACGTATCGAAAAATCGGCAATATAAAAAAGTAAACAATAAATAAATTTACGTGATTCACTAATATGAGATGTGTTATCTACGTACACGCGCACAAAATAATAGTTTCTCTATGTTTAAGGAGATACATATTATAGAAAAGATTACAAACCGTGAGGAATTTTACAGTGATATATAACATTGGTGCTATAGGTTTTTGCCTTTATGGTACAACTTCATATTGTATCTATACTTTTTGTACAAATTCTTTTATGGTACAAATTAAACTTGTACCTTATGTGATGGTACAACTTCAAGTTGTAAAGTTGTACCATAACATAATTATACAAATTTCTTTATGGTACAACCTAAACTTATACTTATGGTACAACTTCAAGTTGTACATTAAAACACCAATACTATATAGTAGAAGTGCTCTACAAACCACGCATAGTAAAACAAACGTGTATAAACCACCATTTCCTGTCAAGTCACAGCAACATTTTCGTTCAAAAAATACAAAACAAAACTATTTTCTCATTTCTAGCATCGTAAGCGTCCCCCAATTAAATAAATATACACCTCGCCGAGTTGGCAGGCAATGAAATCGACGTCCGACTGGTATAGCTGTTGTACGTCAATGGACCGTAATGAATCTCTCGTGAAACCCCGGCACCGCTCCTATAATTAATTGGTCCCAATAAAGCTCTATCTATTTAAATACACCTTCTCCCCGTCAGATTAATCAAAACAAAAACAAACAAAAAAGCATTGTAATTCATCCGAGAAAAATCAAAGCACAGGAAAATCTCTGGCAATGGCCCGTAAGCCCCGATCCGTGTCTCCCCAGGTTTTGTTGGCTTGGGTCGTTTTGGCGGCTGTTTCGATCACTCCATCGACGATTCTCGCCACCAAGTTCATGGTGGGCGATAGCAGAGGCTGGGACCAAGGCGTCGATTACGTAACTTGGGCAAAGGGCAAGACATTTCACGTCGGGGATAAGCTTGGTGATTAATTACTAATTCATTCATTCATTATTTGAAGTGGGCACAAACATTTATTACTCCAAGTTATCTGATCGTTTGATTAATTTTATGGTAAACACTAATTATTAGTCAAATTTTTTTTTCGCCTTCTTTTTTATTAGTTAAACCTATTAAATTACTAATAATTAATCAAATATTTTGCAATACATCAAAATATTATCCATTTTGATGATACCATACATAATTTTGTAACTTTTTTCTTAGTTAAAATATTAAAGTTTTGGATTGTTGACATACATGTGTCTCTTTTAAGTTATTGTTATGTTGCCGGGTCATATTCCTATTATATTGCTAACTATTAGTAATTCAATAGTTTTGCTAATAAAAAGGAATGCGGGAAAGTTGGCTAATAATTAATGTTTATCCTTAATTTTATGAGCTCTAACCAATTTTAACAATCAATTATTGTTTTCTATAAAATTTATTTTTGGATTTTAGTTTAGAGAATCGAGGCCTGAGATGTATGTTTTAGAGGTTAGGCTATAGCATTACAACCCAAAGTCAGTTTAATTTATACTCTAAACAGAAGAATCTCACTAAGGGTACCTGAATATTGTATACTCCATGAGCATGACAATTATATATGTTTGGTTCTCTCGTACAACAGGCGAAACCTAGTGTATGTCGTATACCAGCAATTTTTTATTGTACTCATCCATCTCAACGATAAGTAAATATGCGGGTTCCGTTTTATGTGGGATTATAAAATAAATTACCGCATTTATACTGATCCTTGACATGGACGCGAACGATGGAGATTGTCTGGTGTACGACATACACCAAAATATGACTGGGTTACGATACACATCACTATATATATAATTTCTATGTAAATACCAATTTCTGACACATCGGTTTTTCTGATGATTGATTGTGCAGTTTTCCTGTACAGTGAGACTGTACACAACGTTTTCAAAGTGACGAAACATCAATACCAAAACTGTACAATCCCGTCGTCGGCGAAGCACGCACTAACCTCTGGATACGACATCGTCAAGCTGACGTCTCCTGGGAAAAAATGGTACATTTGTGGCATGGCCGATCACTGTGCCACTGGTGGCCAAAAGCTTGCTATCAATGTGAAGCCATCAAAGCACCACCACTGAAGAGAGTACTCTTAGCTACGAGTACTTCTGACGTTGTTCAAGGAATGCTTGAAATTTGCTTATGGGGTCTCTTTCAACCCAAATTATCACACGCGTGGGACAGCAGGATGAAATAGAAGAGAGAATAGCAAAATAAGTTGGCATTAGGCTCAAAATAAGCAGCTAATAACAGATGGTGCGACTACCCATTAGGGTTCGTACGTACTACTGTGGTTTGTAGAAAAAGATAAACACGTATAAGCTTGCCTAAAGAAAAAGAATAAGCAAAGAACGAAACTGTTAACTTGAGAAATAAATAAATAAAGGGTTAATATTCTCGTATGGGCTGAACTTTGACCAAAATAAACATCCTGGCCAATCTTTTCGATCTATAACATCCTGACCCGAACTATACACCAAAATAAACAATTTGGCCAGATCCGACTTTTGACCGTTAACTTGGACGGTCAAACGCGTTGACCGTTAGTCAACACGCCATGTCACTGCCAAGTCAGCATAAAATATTTTAAATTATTATAAATTTAAAAAAAAATCATCTAATACCTTAGTTAAACCAAAAATGAAAAACGAAAAAAAAAATATTTATAAGATCTTCTGACTTGGCAGTGACGTGGCGCGTTGACCGTTAGTCAACGCGTTTGACCGTCCAAGTTAACGGTCAAATATCGGGTTTGGCCAAATTGTTTATTTTGGTGTATAGTTCGGGCCAGGATGTTATATATCGAAAAGATTGGCCAGGATGTTTATTTTGGTCGAAGTTCAGGCTATACGAAAATATTAACCCATAAATAAATAACAGATAGTTTGGCAATGGCTTAGTTAAAGATGTTACAGACCCATATTCAAATTGCATTTCAAAGTCATTTCGAGCGCATTAATTTATTTTTATAAATGGATGCGACACATCTCAGCTTTCATTCATAACACTATGAAGTTCGGAAAGGCCTTGACAGTCATACATGAGAAAGTGGTATAAACTAGGGTCAGAAACATGAACAAGGTGAAAACCCAACGGGAGGCAATGCCCTCTACTAGCAAGATAGTCGGCACCCTTGTTGCCCTCTCTATAAATATGGTAACACGAGACTTCCCAGTTTCGAGAAAATAACTTCTCGAATCGATCAATATATATAATAGCAACATGATATGATCTCTGTTCGGGCTGTGAAGAAGCTGAACGGCGCACTTAGAATCCAGCTCGACATGGACCCGATGATAGCCTCGATCGAAGGCCAACTGAAACCCTTCTACAGCTCCTCTCAATTCTGCTCGGGTTATAGAACAAATCCCCAGGTTACTAGCGAATGCCGCAACGCAGCATGCAGTATGATCTCTTATCAGGCCACCTGATTATGCATGGCCTGAATCATGAAGGACATAACCGTTTGAATTGAGAGTAACCCACTCGGGAGGTGGCGGCTTTCACGAGATCTCAACCTCCGTTCTAATGGGCAGACTCGACATATGAACAAACCTGTCTTTATCCATGGCATGCCTCACGACAGTTATCCAAGCCAGGATACGCTGTAGAAAAGCTTCAGTGGTGACGACCTTGCCTGAAAAGACCCTATCGTTCCTGGTCCTCCGAAGGGACCAACAGATGAGGCCAAAATCAAGGCCAGTATGCTCTCGAGCCATGTTCCGAAGAATCCAATCCCGAAAATGACTATCAAAAAGTTGTGTTGATCAGAAAGCTGAGTGAGATGCAACCAAGTTAACCTGGAAAAAGAACAATCCCGCAACACATGCAAGACTGTTTCAGGATGTTGCTTGCAGTAGCCACACATAGGAGAATCCGCAATATGATGTCTCGTCCGCTCCTGGTTGGTGAGAAGTTTGTTCCGAATAGCTAGCCAGAGAAAGTGGTTGACACGGGCCCGGCCGCTCCACCTCCATATCGTACGCCAATCGAAAGTCCACCACATGTCCACCTCTCCCTTGGCTATGTCGTAGGACAACCTTACTCGGAAACGACCGTCCTGCTCTGGCCTCCAGGTCATACTATCCTCTCCTGCATGAGGTTGTGGCGGCTGGATCCCCAGTATTTGCAAAACAGCTTCTTCATGTAGCAAAGAATGTAACCGAGGTTAGGTAGATCTCACTCACCATTTTGATCCACAAAGGCTACGACAGGTGGGAAGGATCCACTGTTAGCCCATCCTCCTCTGCGAGGTCGAGTAGGAGGTCGCCGCTATCGATCCACCTGTCAGTCCAGAAGGAAGTGGTTTGTCCGTCTCTGATGTTCATGCGCATGTCTGTCGACATGATCGGCCATGCCTTCTTCACTCCTCGCCACAGGTTCGAGTTTCTTATCGATGACATGGCCACAAGAATGCCATTCACTTTCCTGAAATACTTGCCCGCAACACACGGACCCACAATTCATCTGAATTTTTAACAAAAGACCAAGCTACATTGGAGAGCAATGCAAGATTCAACTCATGAGCATTGCGGAGGCCCAGTCCTCCCTCCTTTTTCGGACAACAAACCGCCTCCCAATGGACTAGATGCACCTTACGCACACCTTCCGGAATTTTCCGGTCAATGGAATTGCATATGGATTAGGGGAGCAGGGTATTCTGCATAGCATAAGCTGGAAGGACATTCAACACTGAGACAGCCAAAGTTACCCGCCCCGCAAGGCTAAGGTTTTTAGCTTTCCACCCAAACAGCTTCTTCTCTAGACGGTCAAGAATATATCTGTACGTCATCTTGTTTACCCGGCCATGCAACACAGGAACCCCCAGGTAACGACCCAGATCCTGAGTCATCGGCATCCTCAAGCCACTAGCAATCGTGGCGCCAATCTGCCTTGGGGTATTCTGGGAGAAGAAGATGACCGATTTATCTTTGCTGACATGGTGACCCGAAGCAAGAAAAAATTGATCCAAACACTCCGGTACAACAGATCCTTGCGTCTCCGTTGCTTCTGCAAAAAGGATAAGGTCATCAACAAAAAACAGATAAGAGAGATCAAGGCCACCTGGAGATGTCCGTATCGGCTTCCACTTCTTCCTCGCGACCTGCGTTCGATGGTATTACTCAGTGCTCCATGCATAAAGTAAATAAATAGGATGATAGCGGGCAGTGCTGTCGTAGGCCCCGAGACGGGGCAAATTCTTCCGTCAGGTTCCCATTCCATAAAACTTGCATCCTCGTCGAAGTAACACACTGCATCCCTCAATTAACTTCACAGGCAAACCCACTTCTACCATTGTCTTTCTCAAAAAACTCCAACTTAGGCGATCATAGGCCTTGGCTAAATCGATCTTCAACACCATCTGACCCTTCCTCCCTTTATTGAGACCCATAGAATGAATAACTTCCTAAAGAATGATGATGTTATCCGTGATGTGTCTACCCAGAACGAAGCTTGTTTGATTCGGATGAATAAGATCCCGCATAAAGGGTTTGATACGGTTTACCAGGACCTTAGCAAAAGTCTTATAGACTACATTTCACAATCCAATGAGCCAGGATTGAGTGATAAGTTTCGGACTCTCTTTCTTTGGGATTAGGCAAAGAAGAGTAGAGTTCACCAAAGAGATACGAGTCGGATCATCCAGGCAACTTGTAACAAACTGAACAAAAGAGGGAGCTACCTTGTTCCAGCATTTTTGAAAAAAGACAGGTGGAATGCCATCCTTCCCCGGAGCTTTGAAACCCCCATGCTTTTGAGAGCCTGCCAAACCTCCTCCTGGGTGATCGGCCTAACCAGTCTGTCTCCATCTTGACCACAGATTTTCATAAAGTCGGCCGGCAGGTGAGTCATCGCGTCAGGACCTACTGTGAAAAGGAGACAAAAATAGTCACATGCCATCTTCTGGAGTTCCAACTCATCGAATACCCAGGTTCCTTCCGTTGTACGCAGCCCAAGAACTTTGTTGAATCTCCTACGTTTCAAAGTTGCCAAAGCGTCGCTTCAATTTGCTTTCGGGTCTCTTCCTCCTCGCATAACAAAGCTCGGGTGGGCCGGTCCTCGTTCCGCATTTCGAGCTGCATCAGCTTCCTGCAAAGCTTCCGTTTTCTATGTAAATTGTGACCAAACGTCTCTTTGTTCCATTCTTGCAAACGGAGGAGAGCTGACCCAGTTCCACTGGGAAGAATCCTGTGTCTCACCAGGACTTATCAAGCACTTCCTGGAAATTATCATGTCCCATCCAGGCCGCCAGAAATCTGAAAGGTCGATCGCCATTGCAATTATCTTTCTGAGAGCATTTTAACCAAATTGGTCGGTGATCAGAACCAAGCCGCTCCAAGTGACAAGTGGATGAAGTTTGGAACTTAGTGAACCAGGCTTTATTGCTTAGGGCACGGTCTCGCTGATATAAGTTACCTCATCGCCAAGTGAAACAAGGACCTGTGAAACCAATTTCCATCAAACCGCAGTCGGTAACGCATTTCCTAAATGACCGGGTACGTGCCTCTTGATATCCTGCACCTCCCATTCGGTCAGACAGGCCGAGAATACTGTTGAAATCACCCGCCAGGATCCAGGGAGTTGAAACCCCACTCGAGATCCGACGAATCTCCCTCCACAAGTCTTCCCGACAAAAGGCATCCGGGCTACCATACACCGCCGAAACCAAGACCTCCAATCCAGGATTACTATTCTTTGAACACTTCATGTGAATCATCTGCTCCCATTCATAAATCGACGTTGCTGTAATATTGTTCTTACGCCAAAGAACCCAGATGCCACCGGAGAACCCTACAGAATCCACCTTCAGATGACCATCAATACCTGTGCGAGTAACAACACGATCAGCGACATTGCCACTGATTTTTGGTTCCAAAATAAATACTAAATCGGGTTTAGACAACCCACAAAAATTCAACAAGAAAGTGACAAATTGATCATTTCCTGCTCCTTGGCAGTTCCAAGACAAGATATCTAACATAATTGGAAAAGGATAAAAGAAAAAGACTTCCCCCACAAGCGCGGTCAAACGCAAAATCATGTAGGCGGGGGAGGAATCTCCTTCCACTTCTCCGGTGGAACACTCCCCTCCAAAGAGGTAGTAAGCTGCCTCATCCCTGTTTTTGCAGGTGATTGAAGGCCGAAGAAACAGGCTGTTGGTTCTGTACTGACTTTGCTCCTTTACCCGCAACAGGTGGGGAGCTTGACGGCAGTGTTACTCTTGCCCTTTGCCTAGGCTTATGCAACAGTCTTTTTCCCAGTTGACGACTGCGTTGAACTGATGCGGGTTGCGTGGCCGTAAAGATGGGTACAGTGACGAGGCCATCTAGAAGAGGAGAGGGGTTACTGCTCATTATCTTGTCCGACCCTTTAGTTGACACAACTGGGGTAGCAATCTGTTCATGTGAGGCCGCATCCTTCTTGGGCGATGGTGGTAATTCAGGGCTCGTCACACAAGCTGCCTCCTTATTCGACTCCGGCTGAAAGGTCTCCTCTCCTACCTCCATTTCCATCTCCTCGTTATCCGTAGACAACAAGTCAAATCTAGAACCATCCCTTGTATTAGTTTCCACCGATGGTTTGGAACTCCTTTTAGTGTAATGCACCTGCTTGCTAGAATGCCTACCCTTAGGCTTAGCGATCATCTAGTCCCCAGACACAGGCTCTTGGGTTTGTATTGTCGATGACTGACTAGCTTTGTCCTGAGGGTGTTCAGGGGCCGGTGAAGCTGTCGGTACAAAAAGTGAAGGGCACGTAACCTTCGCATGACCATAGTTCCCGCACTCCGTACAAATATTATGCAAGCCCTCATTCTTGATGTAGTATTTCTTACCCTCAGGACCGGTCAACTTACACGATAACTCGAGCGTATTGAGTACGTTCTCGTGTGAATGTATCTCTACCCAATCCTTTGGGCAATTCTTTCAACTGCTTCCCGATCAATAAACTCCAGAGGAATATTTGGGAGGCAAGCCCATACCATGGTCGAAGCAGCTTCAGCAAACGAGGGATCAAAACCCTTCCGCCATGGCCTAACGGTGAGGTAGTGCCCCCATATCATCCAAACACCGCCAGCTGCGGCCTGTTCGTAGTCCATTTGACTTGTGAAGCGGAAAACATAAAATCCAAACGACATACTCGAAATTTGGTGGCCACTATGTTTCGCCCACAGAGTTTCAAGTTTCTTTGACAACACCGGAAAGGGGAATGTCTGTCCCAACACTTTGATAATTAGGGCAGAACGCCATTTACGATGATAACGAGCTTTCTCCATGGCATTGAAAGGGATGGTTGGGCAACGTGCATCATCCTCTTGCGGGACTTCGTCGTCCAAATCCTCCTCCCTCATTGCTTCATGGATATCCTCTGTATCTTACTCGGCGACATACCATGCATTGTCTGCCTCTGTATCTTACTCGGC